CCTTTCAATTTCCATGTAAAACAAAAGGGGAAGCCATCCTATATGAAACAGATTCAAAGGTGGGGATGATTACATAGCATTTTTGAGTTATGGTGATCAGCAGGGAATTGAGTGACAGATCCTTAAAAAAATGACTATAAAAATCTTATAGGATAAGAAACACCTGGATTTCTGAATGTTACATTTTTCTATAATGTTGTTTCTCCTTTTATTTGAATTTGGCAAGTCCTCCTACCCTCTCGCTAGATCCCTCCACCAACAAAACCACCGATGAATTCATTAAGGATGTACAGATAAATTAACTGGAGGATTTACAGAAAATTGCAAAGGAGATTCTGCAGAACAGCACTACTGCTGAGAGTGAGTGCTCCATCCACCTCCCACAATCAGTGGGAGTGACAAAGAAGTGACAAAGTCTTAAGAGCTAATTCTCAGCTCCCTAAAACCCTTTGAGATTTTTTCCTTCAGTCGGAATGAGACAGCTACTATTCCTCTTGTGACAGTGTAACACCTAACCACCTCTGCCTATATTTTAAAATTTTGGTTTGCCATTTGATTTAAATTATTAGCTTTGCTGACAGCCTTCATTCATGAGTCACCCCATACTGACAAGACTGAAAAGAAGCCAGAGACTTGCTGGTGTTTAGGATATTCAGCTAGGATGAAGAAGAGCCAGGTTTGAGACACAGGTCCTATGATTATTTCATTATCTGCAAAGACAGCTCTAAGAGGAGAGACTTCATGGCCACGCTAAGTATTTCTTACCATCTAGCTAAAGTAACTTCTTGTTCAGCTTGGTTATTCCTGCAAATTCGGCTATTATGTGCGTAATTTCCTCTACTGCATATGAGCTTTGATGTCTAACTTGGGACTCAGAAGAGCAGACTTCTGAATGTTAGCTGCTGCAGTGCTGTGTATTTAGCCTTAAATTGGCTTACATGGGGACCAGATTTCATTCCAAGAGCACAACGCTCACTTGCTTTGCTTACACTTAATTGTTACTAGTGCAACTATATTAGTAAACAGCAAGTCCTTAATATAGACAAATCCTTAGACTTATCCTAAACTTTCATTTTCCATAAGTCTTCTTAAGAAAAGGTGCTCAACTCCATCTGCTGCTGGACTCAGATTATTCTTCTCTCGTAAAAGGCTGAGGAGCGCGCAACACAAAGAGATATCTTTTTCATTCTTTAAACATCTTACATACAGGCAAAAGTCCAAACTACTGCTACGGAGATGCTTATGAGTGGAAGGCACCATTCCCTCCATAGGTCCGTTAAGTAACGCATCTCGTTACTGCCCTTAGCAGTGGCACTAACCATCCATGGAAGCCCTATCTTCAGCTCAGAAGTAATTTACTGTATTTTTTTTCCTTGTTTGCTATGATAATTACAAACATTGACAACCTAGCCTCAGTGCACTTTGGCCTCTAACAAGAGTATAACAAAATTCAACAGTCTAACATGAGGGAAAAAAAACTAGCTAGTCCACTAAATATTAACATGTTATTTAACTCTGACTTCATATTACTATGAAAATTCCCCCATTAATTACACTATTACACATTATGAGTGATTTTAGAAATAGGTATTTTACATCAGATTAATACCAAATCTCATAGTAAGATATGAGGCCTCAATACAGGAATATCTTTATTTAAAGAAAACACCTTCAAATCAATGTAGTCTTTCCTAAAAACATATTCATTATTGCTTCTTCCTTTAGCATGCCCTGTTTGGGCTCATGAGATAATGTTAATCAATAGCCAGAATAGTAAAGAGACATGAAAAATGCTCTTAAAATATATCTAAAAATAAGCATTTACAATTATAGCATTCTAAACCAGATTATCAGAAAAAAATCTTGCAACATAAAATATACACCTGCATGGTGCAATAAAAGGATTTTAATCATGCCTGTTTGGAGTGATATGTGTAACTAATACATGGCTTTTCTGAATCAATACCACATTCTTTTTATGTGCTTAATTCTGATATTTTTACAAGTGTATTTTCTTTTATCTTAATGAAGCAGAGCTAGATTTACTCTGGCATAATTCAAAACAGAGCACAGATTATGGGTTCATAGATAGAGCTCTTTGTATGCACCTTTGTGGGTTTCTGTTCGTCTAAGCACAAGTACAAAGTGCTTTAATAGTATGGTATTTCAGCAGAAAAACAAAGTATTCTAAAACATTTTGGGTGTCAGTCCCCTACCTTTTGTTGTTTGTTACACTTCTATTCTCCCTGATAAAACTGAGAAGCAGTCATCAGAGACGCTGACACTACCAAGTCTCTTTCCTCATGAACCAGATAAATTGACACACCTATTTAGCACATAGAGAGGGCAAATCCAAGAGAAACTCATTTTTTCCTCTTGATATGCTATGTAGAATCCTTAATGTGAATCAATCTGGGATACATCTATTTTCCTGAAACAGAGGTTTTTTACACCCACAGGGTTTGCAACTGTCTTTTCAAAAGTCCTTTGCTGCCCTCATGTGTTTCACAGGAAAAGTAACTCCTGAGACCTCTACATCGTAAAATGGCTTTTCTTAGCAAGGCAACTGCTTCTCCTGTTACAAACAATACACAGTCCATGGAAATGATTACGGAAAAATGACTTAATCTCTCTCTTCTAGTAAAGCTAAGTTGCCTATTTTAGAATGTAATGATTGTACATTAACAATAAAAAAAATTGCATTTGAGATAAAACTTCTAAGCAACAGATTTCAAGGTGCAAAGCTAGCAGACCAATTTCATGGAAGTCAATGATGTTAGCCTGGCATAAAAATCTGAAACACTTTATTCAAAATGTACTTTTCATTACAAGTAACTTCAAGAAATACTGTTTAATTGTATATATTTCACTATCTTTCTGCTGCTTGCAATACCTGGCAAAGTAACTTCTTTCTTGTGCCATTATACTATACTGTGGAAAATAAAATTATGCGATCACTAAACCTGCTTTTACTCTCACTATTAGTGCATTCAAAGTCACAGTGCCCCTATCAAGCTTTTTCTTAACACTGCCTGTCGGCCCCTTCCCTGGGTTCCTTCCTAGGGTCTCACCTTGACACCACATCAAATCAAGGGGAACAGCCAGACAAGAGGGCCACTCTGCACAGACTCCGTTAGCAGACAGACGCCTCAAGTCACAGTTTGATGGATTCTGCATTCGAAATTTGGCCACTGAGGCTCAGGCCCATTGCTGTTTATTGTTGCTCATTTTAAAAAACTACCAAATACAGAATCTAAGAGAGAGGCTGCTCAAGCTCTGCATTGGTTACTGCACATTTATAAAATAATCTAACCGTCAGCTTGAAGATGCTGTCTCCTCTTCCCTCCTAACAGTCCACTTCCCATGTGCCAACTAATTTTCCTCTCAGAGAAGGTCTGGCATTAATTTTTAACATCATATTTAAGTGAGCAATGAACAACCCTGTCAACTTGCTTTTTGCTTTGAAGTCTGCAACAGCTACTGCAGACACGGCGTGAGCCCCCTGCATGGCTCTCTCAGGCACAACACATGTCCCACACCAAAACACCTGCGCGTAAAACAGGGGCTTCCTCCATGCCCCACAACCTAGCCTCGTGGGGGTGGATGTAGCTTTCACCACGCCACTGGGCAGTCTGAAACACACCTAAAAAACATGAAAGGGCACCCAGCAGCAACGGCCCCAAGGGCCGCCATGCTGAGCACTCCTGGCCCCACAGAGGTGGGGCAGGGGGCCCTGCCAT